GGTTTTAGCTAAAACTTATGTCGCGTTTCGCAATGAGTTGAATATCAAAGGCGTCAAGCTGTCGCTTGCGGAATAGACTTACATATAGATGATAGCCATTGTTGTTGAAATTGAAAGAATGCGTGCTCGCCCACACCACAACTTCAATTCAGCTCGTGCGTTCTTTAGCTTCAAATGGCCTTATGTGCTTGCTCATATGTGACTGGGTTGTCTATGCTTCTTGGAGGCGTACAGTCGGTTGATACGTGAACAAGGCTACCTGCGTGTACTAGCTGAAGCTGCCTCAGTTCGTTCGAGATTTATACTCGGACATGAAGGCTATTGGCGAGCAATCGAGTTGGAATTTGGCCCCACTGGGGCTTCCTGTTCATAGAAAGCTACCGATTACCATCAAATGAATGTACCTGAGAGATGATAGGTTTGCCAAAATATATACCGTTGTACTTTGTAGTTGCGAACAAGAGAGATTTAGCTTCTAGCACCGTTTGCGGGTTGAAAAAATTGCGTATCATACTCAACATCGACTGCCCCTGATACGGCTCACCAGCAATGCCGATTCCATCAGGCTATTAAGTGTGCTTGAGGATGCAAGCGCTTTGTCACGATCGCCTATAAGCACAGTCCCGCACGCGCCGCCCACCGATATCTATCATTGAGAAATCGCAACTGATCCTCACTTCAGGGCTCATAACAAAGCTGTTCTTTGCTGCACACTCGCGTCCCCTGCCTCCAATGCACCAGGTTTCGCCCAAAAGCGAGGGTTGCTCTTCGCGTGTTTACCACTTGGCGCATGAATCACATTAACGCCTTTCGCTATGATATTGTCACTTGTATGTTTACCGGTACCAAAAGACTGAATTATATCGGAGTCATCGCCATGCGTTTTCTTCTTCTCCTCGCTTGTTTGTTCAGATCCTTCATCTTCCGCAAAGCTACTTTCGGAACCTATCATTTCATTGATAGCTGATTTGTTACCAGACCTGCGCTTTACTTTCGCGATATCTTTGAGTAATGAATCGGCCAACTGTCCACAGCCGGCATCAATATCCACACCTCTCTTCACGCGCACTGTGGAAGGTATAGCCCCCGCGGTCATCAGAATCTCCTGGAAGACACGAACAGACTCTTCGGTAGAGGCTTTACCTGACAAGTTGAGAAATCGTTTGTATACATTTTAGTATAATAACAACGTATTGGAAATTGAAAAGTTTTGTGAGATAACAAATAATATTTACATTCGCACTTTTGCCAGTTTATGAGTGGTCGGGATTGACACAATAAGATGGTTATTTGATTAATTCGTATGTACGTGAAAGCGTGGCACTCAACATGAATAAAAAGAGAATTTAGCAATCGTACTGTTTGTCTCGGCTGATATCTCATGTTTGATTCACAATCAAACAGGATTCTACGCGTTCAGATACTGCCAGCAGAACATAGCTGGAAGGGATGCGACGCTAATATCATGACAAGCAATATGTGCGAGATCGCACAAAGAGTTATCAGACCGTCTTGCTCGTGTCCCAAAACATACCTTCGAAAGTAGGCGTAGGGTTTAGCGGGATTAAATTGACATGGGACAGGCCTTTCATCGGACCCAGAACACGGGCCAGCTGAGGATATGGAATACGGACGTTTCAAGTTATACGAGCTTCATTGCAAATTTAAGTCATATGACGAGAAATTTTCATGTCTAAAGAGTCAAAGCAAGTTGCATCTGCCCGAAAACATGAGTCGTATGGAATACCTGCAAAACGCTCAGACTCCAAAGAAATTCCGAAACACAGCAATTTGATTGGCAGCTTCGCTCTGTATTAAATGAATGACGTGCAGCTGTGCTCGCAAAAAGAAGAAGAAGGACGTTTCCCCCATACCTTGTAAGCGTGCTTCTGCGAATCGTTCTGGCCATGAATGAGACAGTATTCAAACGTAACTCGTCTGTTGGTGTTCTCAGCATAGTTCACAGCCGCATGCACAAGCTCGCATATAGGATACTTTGTACTAATCGGCATGATTTTCGCCCTCTCGTCCTCGTACGGCGTGTGCAGGCTAATGGCCAGCGTTGTGCGTAGCTTTTCGGTTGCGAGCTTCTTAATCTTGGGCACATTGCCTACTGTGCTGATGGTAATATGCTGTGCACCTATGCCCAGGTGCGTATTCATCATGTGAGCGGCTTTCGTAACGTTTCTGTGGGTAAAAACAGATACAGACGTTCAATCTAAAATTGGAAGGCGTACAAGTAGAAAAGGACCACTCACTGGCAATTGGAACTGTAGTAGATAAAACAAACTGCAAGCACGAGTGTGTGCAAAAGTAGCGATTGCTGAACTTTCTCTATGTATCACACCACAAATATGCTCAGCAAATGGCTTAGTATTGAAATTCGATTTCCCAAATTGCAATGAGAAATATTTGCCGTTGTGAGGCGCCAGTGTACTTGGCACGATGTACATGTAGAAAATCATTCGCAGTTGTGCGTTGGCGATGTACATATGGCTATGAACGATTCGCTGACTGTTGGTCCATTAGTGAACGGTGGATTAAATGCAATGGTGAGAATGACTTTCGCCTTCTGCTGCTCATATTTTATTGCAGGTGATTGTGGCCTGGTAGGTCGCGTGTCATCGTTGATGTACAAACCAATTGAGAACGAAGCGTGAATGCTTACTTGTAATTGTTGAGTGGTTCGCCCATGCCCATAAATACGACATTGCTTAATCTCTGACCCTCACTCTGACAAAAATCGGCCATATTGTACGCCTGTTCGAAAATCTCTTCATGCGTGAGGTTTCGGGTGAATCCAGATTGACCTACAATGCCAAAAGCGAATGGATAGGCAAACAGAACAAAGAATCAATTTCGCACACACTCGAATGCAGGGTGTGTATTGAATCATCGCAGAAGCATTCTTACGAACATATTCGAATAGACGACCGACACCGCCGGTAAAACATACCAGTGGCACAAAAGCTGCAGTTCATTGCACATCCGGCCTGCGAGCTGATGCAGGCCGTATTTCTCCCATCTTTGTATCGCATCAACACTGTCTCGATGATCGATCCTCCCGCTATTCCGTAAGCATGCTTGATGGTACCATCCCTGCTCACCTGAAATATACAGGCGGATTGCATGCGCGGAGAGGCAGATGAATGGAATGTGAAGTACAAGTGACAGCTACACGATGTTACAGTCCATTTCGGCTCAAGTACTGTTCATACCTGAACGTACGGTAGCCTCTATGGCGAGTACAAAGGCAATAGTATGAAACAGACTAAATCGGGTATGCGAATGCTAGAACTGTGAAAATTTCATATGGGAATTGCTTGCAAAAGTGTGGATTATGCCTGGGTATATGGTCAGCTGTCTGCACTATATATGCGCGTCTCTAATACTTTCGATTTAGGGATTCCTTATTACACAGCCCTTAAGAAAGGGATGTTTTTGAATTTTTGAAAGTGTATGTTAATCATGCGCACACACATTCCAAAATCCAAGTTGAACATTTACTGTGCAATAGAAACGTAAGGATATAATCTAATTCAATAACACCGTTGGAATGTGTTTCAATACTGGGGGTGGCTGCTTAAACATGTACCGCAGAGGAGGATCCTTATAGGCATGACAAGGCGACACTATACTATACCAGAACCCCATACACAACGTCAACATCGTGGCTTAACAATGTGCAATTGCTGGACTTAAAAAATAAGGTGCACGCGAATAAGGCAACCAGTGTGCACGACTTAGGTTGGACCTGACCACATTTAAAACATCGCTCTAATGTATATTCGAACTCACCAGTTCTTTTTTGAGGTCCAGACACCCAGCAATATGGAAGGTATCCTTGAGGTCTTGTCGGAGATGTTTGGGAATGTACATCATCTCATCAAACGACTTTGTGTGCTTTTTGTAGAGCAGATCTCTTAGCTGCTTGGATTGAAACGGTTTGCAGCCGGCGCTAACAACAAAGTCCTGCAGACGCAAAAGTGCAGGTGTATCGAAATATATGTTTGTAAATGAAAGCGTTATTTACATACAGAAGTATGCGTGTGAGAACAATGTCCACAAATTGCGCAGCCAAACGAAGTAAAAAACAGAGGTGCCATCGACATACACTGTACATTTCAAGTGCCATGGTTGAAAAATAACAAAAAATAAACAAACCGGGACATCACCAGTCACGATTGACTCTTGTATGCTATCATCTTCCGTACTAGGCAATAGTAGAGAGCATCGTTCGCAATCATGCATCCAAACATCACCTTACGATTATTACCGAGGTTAGGGTGCTATGCATTGACTGGAGAATCAGTGCATAACGAACTTGTTTAGCAACAGGCCATGAACTTGCATGCGATTGCTATAGGGGCTAGCCACAGAAAAAAACAACATTTCAAAACTATAACGCGTTGCTTACACCAACTATATATATATATATATGTATAAATAGAAACGGACACAGACACTAACGCAGAAACAGACACAGACATACACCCACCACACACACACACATATATATATATAAACGCACTTTAGCACACATGCGCACACGATATATACACACACGCAAACACGCACACACACACCAGACAAATACTAATGCATATAGCCACACAAAAACACACATATATATACATTTATATACATTCAAATATATACTTACACACACACATACACTCACCAACAAACAGATACACATATATATATACGTACACACACACACACATAT